TAGAAAACCAAAAATTTCATTCTAGACCATGAAATGAGGCAATGAAAGGTGCATACTAGTTTTGATGAACTACTATAAGCTTCATTTATCTTCATATTCAAACTATCAAGTGATTTTGAGCTCAAATGGTATATAAAAAAAATCCACCATCATTCACAATCTAAAAAACCACAAATTTCTCTATTTCTGACAAGAAATGAGCCATGCTAGTGATGAAACATGGGAGGATCAAGTTGGTAACCTTTAGAACCAAAGAATGGATGGAGGAATGAAGTCTTCACCAATCCCGCAAGCATGAACTCCTTCCACGAGCAAGAACAGAGAGCAGGCAGAGAGCTTGAAATGGCTCGGGCTAGGGGAGGAAGGAGAAAGTATATAGCCCGGGACATGTAGTCCCGATTTGTGGTATCAACCCGGACTATAGGTACAATTCTTGTCCCGGTTAGAGCCACCAGCCAGGATTAAAGGTTTAGTCACGGCTGGTAGCTCCAACCGGGATTGAAGGGTGACCTTTAGTTCTGATTTGAGCCACCAACCAAGACTAAAGGTCCCCTCCTGCAAAAGCTGCGTCTGTAGCTGTTGGGCAGGGGACTTTAGTCCCGGTTGGTAGCTCCAACCAGGACTAATCCTATCTTTAGTCCCGGTCCTAAAAATAGCTAGGACTAAAGTCTTGAACCGAAAGTCTGTTCTCTACTAGTGTCTACTGACATGTCAAAAACTTCTACTAGCTATTTTGCGCGCCTGTCCAAAACTTTGGAATTGAAATTGAACAATTGCTGGTTCTCTTTGTGCCATGCATAGGAACAACATTATCTTTGATAAATGGAACACTATTGCTAAGTGTAGATGTGGAACTATCTTTTTGAGATGAACTTGGAGTACTCATGATCCATAGGGCCAATTCAAAAAAAAAGTATTTCCTATTTTTAGATAATGAAAAAAATCCGACTTTATCCTTACAAATGAGGAATCAGACAATCCTTACTACAAAAGAAGATTCACACTCACTCTAACGTTTTCACAGGGTTCACAACACCATGAAATGTGATCCTAAAAGCAAAATGCCATCCATGAGAGGCGAAAAAGGCAAGTTTCTTCCAGTAGACAATCAGTTGTCATCACTAATTGTTCGACGCTAGTGATTTATGATGCCAATCCGTCCTCGATCTCATGGCTTACTCATTTTCGCTGAGGGAACAAAAAAATCATTATAATTAACAAGAAGACAATTGTGCCATTGCCCACAGTGCCTCTCACTAAAATGTCTAATTACTAGCCATGGCCCCCAGCAAGTAGTGATCTTATTTTGGCATGATTTATTGGCATATAAATTGTCAGGGTAAGGCCACGCCGAACATATTTCACTAGAAGCCTTGGCCCTTTGGAGAAGCCGAGACACGTTCTACCCCCTCTGAACTCGTGAAATGAAAAGGTGGATGTGTACTGTGTAGGACACGCTTGTAAGACAAGCGAAAACAAGTAGACAGTCAGAACACAACAGCATCCAGGTCTCATCTTCTCATATAAAAAGCTGCTTTCTAACATGCAGAGAGGCCCTAAATTCAGGGCGATAAAATCCGACTTCATCCTTACAAATGAGGAATCAGACAATGCTTATTACAAAAGAAAAGATTCACACTCACTCTAACGTTCACAAGGTTCACAACACATGAAAGTTCAAAAACGCGATCCTAAAAGCGAAAGACCATCCATGAGAGATGAAAAAGGCAAGTTTCTCCCAGTAAAGAATTAGCTGTCATCACTAATGCCAATCCGTCCTCGATATCATGCCTTACTTGTTTTCGCTGAGAGAGCAAAAAAAAATCATTATAATTAACAAGAAGACAATTGTGCCATTGCACATAGTGGCTCTCACTAAAATGTATAATTACTGACCACGGCCCCCAAGTAGTGATCTTATTTTGGCATGATTTATTGGCATATAAACCATCACACTAAGGCCACGCTGAACATGTTTCACTAGGAGCCTTGGCCCATAGGAGAAGCCGAGACACGTCCTACCCCCTCCGAACTCGTGATATGAAAAGGTGGATGTGTACTATGTAGGACACGCTTGTAAGACAAGCGAAAACAAGTAGACAACCAGAATACAGCAGCATCGTAGGCTCATATTCTCGTGTAAAAAGTTGCTTTCTAACATGAAGAAAGGCCCTAAATTGAGGCGACAAAATCCGACTTCATCCTTACAAATGAGGAATCGAGACAATGCTTATCACAAAAGAAGATTCACACTCACTCTAACGTTCACAAAGGTTCACAACACATGAAAGTTCGAAAACGCGATCCTAAAAGCGAAAGGCCATCCATTAGAGGCGAAAAAGGCAAGTTTCTCCCAGTAGAGAATTAGCTGTCATCACTAATTGTTCGCGCTAGTGATTTGTGATGCCAATCCATCCTCGATCTCATGCCTTACTCGTTTTCGCTGAGAGAGCAAAAAAAATCATTATAATTAACAAGAAGACAATTGTGCCACTGCCCATAGTGGCTCTCACTAAAATGTATAATTACTAACCACGGCCCCCAAGTAGTGATCTTATTTTGGCATTAATTTTTTGGCATATAAACCATCACGCTAAGGCCACACGCTGAACATGTTTCACTAGGAGGCCTGGCCCTTTGGAGAAGCCGAGACACGTCCTACCCTCTCCGAACTCGTGAAATGAAAAGGTGGATGTGTACTGTGTAGGACACGCTTGTAAGACAAGCGAAAACAAGTAGACAACCAGAATACAGCAGCATCGTAGGCTCATATTCTCGTGTAAAAAGTTGCTTTCTAACATGAAGAAAGGCCCTAAATTCAGGGCGACAAAATCCGACTTCATCCTTACAAATGAGGAATCAGACAATGCTTATCACAAAAGAAGATTCACACTCACTCTAACGTTCACAAAGGTTCACAACACATGAAAGTTCGAAAACGCGATCCTAAAAGCGAAAGGCCATCCATTAGAGGCGAAAAAGGCAAGTTTCTCCCAGTAGAGAATTAGCTGTCATCACTAATTGTTCGCGCTAGTGATTTGTGATGCCAATCCATCCTCGATCTCATGCCTTACTCGTTTTCGCTGAGAGAGCAAAAAAAATCATTATAATTAACAAGAAGACAATTGTGCCACTGCCCATAGTGGCTCTCACTAAAATGTATAATTACTAACCACGGCCCCCAAGTAGTGATCTTATTTTGGCATTAATTTTTTGGCATATAAACCATCACGCTAAGGCCACACGCTGAACATGTTTCACTAGGAGGCCTGGCCCTTTGGAGAAGCCGAGACACGTCCTACCCTCTCCGAACTCGTGAAATGAAAAGGTGGATGTGTACTGTGTAGGACACGCTTGTAAGACAAGCGAAAATAAGAAGACAACTAGAATACAACAATATCTGAGGCAAAAAGGCCCTAAATTCAGGGCGATAAAACCCGACTTCATCCTTACAAATGAGTAATCAGACAATGCTTATTATAAAAGAAGATTCACACTCACTCTAACGTTCACAGGGTTCACAACACATGAAAGATCAAAAACGCGATCCTAAAAGTGAAAGGCCATCCATGAGAGGGCAAAAAAGGCAAGTTTCTCCCAGTAGAGAATTAGCTGTCATCACTAATTGTTCGCGCTAGTGATTTGTGATGCCAATCCATTCTCGATCTCATGCCTTACTCGTTTTCGCTGAGAGAGCAAAAAGAAATCATTATAATTAACAAGAAGACAATTGTGCCACTGCCCATAGTGGCTCTCACTAAAATGCCTAATTACTGACCACGACACCCCAAGTAGTGATCTTATTTTGGCATGATTTATTAGCATCTAAACCGTCACGCTAAGGCCACGCTGAACATGTTTCACTAGGAGCCTTGGCCCTTTGAGAAAGCTGAGACACGTCCTACCCCCTCCAAACTCGTGAAATGAAAAGGTGGATGTAGGACACGCTTGTAAGACAAGCGAAAACAAGTAGACTACCAGAATACAGCAGCATTCGATCTAGGCTCGTCTTCACGTATAAAAGGCCGTATAAAAGGCTGCTTTCTAACATGCAGAAAGAGGCCCCTAAATTCAGGGCGATAAAACGTAAAAGCGACCAGAAACAATGTAAAAAGCCTAACAAATAACAATGGGAAGAGCACACGGTACTACCATGACTCACGAGAGAGATCGAGCGCTGGGTAGAAGATCCAAATACCGAGGCTTTCTTGGACGTGGATGCAAATATGCCAAGGATGGATGTTTTGGCAGGCACGTAAATGACTCCACCACACCACTACACGCCATTAATGGAGTTTCTACTGAACATAATCAGCAGCATCGAACGAATTCGACCCTGCCTGCGGCCTGCCAAGGATGGACGTCGATCTCTCGATCTTGCAGATAGCATGCGTGCCGGCCGCCCGCGCCACAAAACAAAAGACACCGGCCGGGACGGCATCTCTAACCGCGCGGACCATGCATGGCACTGTGCATGCCTGCATGCAAGATGACGACGACTAGTGTTGACTGATTGACTGATGCCTGCGGCGTCCTCGCTAGCTCTTCAATCGTACAAGCTCTCAATCGTCAGCCTGTTCGCTTGCTCGTAAACGATTGTAAATTTTCAGTTAGAAACAGTGTTTTTCTTTCACACCAAACTAATCAACAGTAAATAATCCACAATATGATACGGCCTCCCGATTAGGCTGCATGGCGATTGGCAGAAAAATGAGGGTCGATCGATCTGCGCAAGGAAGAAATAAAAACTACCGATCGATTTTGAAACCAAAGAGTCTAATGTTAATAGAGAAGCAAATTTCTAATTAAGTTTAGGAATTGAAACAGTATAAACATGGTCCGATCCATGGGAGGTCCAAATTATTGAACGCGAATTACACGACGAACGGTTTCTCCGGGGAATTAAAATGCTAGTACAACATGGAAAGATACAATAAAGGAACGACGACGGGAGTAAACAAACTGGCACGCCCTTTTGACGAGCTAGGTGCTGCTGCTGTTCAATGGAACCTGGCCAGGTCGAGAGTGACCTCGTCCTCAGACGGCGTCAGGAACTCCCTGGAGGCCATCTGAACGACGTCGACGTCGTCCGGAACGGCGGCACCTCCTGCATTGCTGGGGCCGGCACCTCCTGTGTCGCCGCCGTAGGTGGAGCTGGCATGGTGGGCAGTGAACGGCGAGTGCCACATCATGTTGTCGACGAAGGGGTATGTGATCAGGTTGGCGGCGGCGTAGGAAGCAGCGGCCTGGTGGTGGTGGTGGTGATCATGCTCCATCATGTGCGGCACCATCGGAGCCATGAGCTGCATTGTCGGCGCGGCGCCGTAGTAGGTGTTGAGGTCCAGCTGCAGGAACGGCGCCACGGCGTCGGAGTTCATCGCGCCCAGGTTGGCCGACGGCGGCGCGGACGACGACGACGCGCCCAGGTACAGCCCCATTGCAGTCAGCTGGTCGAAGGCGCTGCCGGGCGGTGCTGCCGCCGCCGCCGCGGCGGCGGCGGCAGCAGCAGCAGCAGAGGATTGTGGACTGCTGATCACCTCGCCGCCGTACGAGTACGACCCAAGGTTGTTATAGGACGACGGAGGGGAATCCTCCTCCGGCGGCGGGGTCGGGGCGGCGCCGTCGGCGAGGTCAGGGTACACGCTGCGGATGTACTCTTCGAGGATGGACCACTGGCCGGGAGGCACCTGCTGCGCGTTGTTCTTCTTCTTGAGGCGGCGCTTGGCCTTGAGGCTTCGCTTGGTGGCGTTCCAGTGGTTCTTCACGGCGTTCTCCGAGCGCCCCGGGAGGAAAGTGGCGATGGTCGACCAGTGGTTGCCGCAGCGCTTGTGCGCCTTCATCAGCGCCATGTCGTCCTCTTCGGTCCACACGCTCTTCTGTTAATAGTTGCAAGTCGACAGAGATCGACCGATCGATCACTATTAGCGTATGCAGATGCACAGAACAAAACAAGCGCGGTGCATATATGATAGCTCAAAAGATCGAAATAAAGCACAAGGTTAATCGACTTTGCAACATCGATCAGAATTTCCGATCGGTGCAGTGGTCACGAACTCAGAACATCCATACATCAAAATAACTTGGCATATGCATAACCACAGATAAAAAAATTAAAAGATTCTCTCCACGCTCCAATCGAGTACCTCAGTTGGCAAAGTCCTTTTCCAATCAATTCGTGGCTTTGATGAAGAATTGCCACAGTTAGTGGCCAGAGTAAAAAACACATGCAACATGTACAGCTCCCACTAATTTCTTACCGAGTTAATGCCCACTTTCGAATCTAGACCAAAATTTAGCAGGATTTATACGTAGAAATTAAAGGCAAAGGCTGCACACAGATCGAATTCAAGCTTCCACGCATCAAGATCTATCCATCCAAGAAATCGAACGAGACGAGGACAGATCGATCGATCTGGGAAAAGAATATGCACCTTGAGGTCCGGGCGCAGGTGGTTGGTCCATCTCTCGCGGCACTGCTTGCCCACCCGGCCGGGGAGGGACTGCGATATCACCGCCCACTTCCGGTCGCCGTGCCTCATCACCATCTCCCTGAGGATTCTGCAAGCGAGCGAGCACGCACGCAGCAGCACGAGTTCAGCATCAGCCAAGAGCAAACACTTTTTTGCATCGAATCGAACCAAAAAGAAGAAGAAAAGAAGCCAAATCAGAAGAACTCAGGAGTCAGGAGCACTCACACGTCCTCCGCCTCGGTCCAGGGCCCCTTGTGCTGGTGCGCCCTGTAGCCGCCGTTGCCGCCGCCCGCTTGTTGGGGCTGCTGCGGCTGCTTCTGCTGAGCCCCGCTCCAGGCGGCGCGCAGAGCGCTGGACATGATGCCGCCATACCCGGCGGATGTCAGGGCTCCTCCGGGCAGCGCCATGCCACGCGGCGCCTGCATGCCGAGGCGGCCGACCAGGAGAGAGGCCATGCCGGGGGGCATCGTCATGCCCGCGCCTGGGATCACCTGATGAGCGCCGTTACCTGGGTGCACGCCGCCAGCCGCCACCTCCTGGTGGCCGAAACGCACCGAGCTCCCGGACTCCATTCCCGGCTTGCTTGCCTGGTCGAGGTTACGAGCGAGAGGAATTGGAGAGGGCCCTTTCTCTGCTGGGGAGAGAAGGGGGGCACTGGCCGGGCAGGAGGAAGAAGCAGCAGGGAGAAGAAAGGGCCACGCCGGGCTTGCGAGTAGTGGGCCTTCCGATCCGCGGTGCACGATATATAGCCGGGCCCGCGCCGCCACTGCCGTCCATCTTCCGCGCATCCAACGGTCAGCGGCCATGGCTGCGGGTGACCTTCCAACTCTCCCTTAATATTCGTGCGGTAGAGGACAGGGGGAAGTGAGGTGGCTCTTTGTCACCACTCCACATCACTGAGCCTAGCCTATGCGCGCAGCGTGGGAGGCGCAGGAGCGGCGGTATGGGCCCACCTGTCAGCACTGCCACAAATGTCTTGGCCCGGCTGGTTTTTATTACAGTGGATGGATAGCTGCAGTATGGATATACAGCTGGTCTTGGACACAGTTTACCCCGGAGCAAGGTACTAATGCAAGGATTGTTGATCTGATGGCTAAGGGAGAAAAAACACTGCATGGGAAGTATATTTTGATGCATTTGGCATGAAATTCAGTTTTTTCCATATCACGACAACGCTTAGTTTTGGCGAATTTAAAGGAAAAAGTGCCCGTTAGGCCAGCATAGGGGGAAACGTCATGTATGGGAACAGATGAGAGGCGTGAAAGGATAATTGATTTGTGGTCACTTGAAAAAGCCACAACGTATTTATAAAATATAAGTGTCCGCCTTCGATAAGGTATGTTTGCCATTTTATATAACGTGGGGCGACTAGTCCCTCCTGTTTATTTTAGCAAAAATTCTTTTCCATCAGTTTAGTTAGATATGGGAACTATAAGTCACCAATAATATATCTGTGAGGTAATATAGAGGCGGATATTATTTACAAAAAAATTGAACTATATTTTACAAATTTCTAAATTATCACTTAATAATACTTAGAGGGCATTATTGTTCTCAATATTTTGCTTTGCACAATAATGCCCTCTATAGAACGAAAGATTTTTTTTGTTCTCAAACCTAGTCTATAAGAGAGGAAAACACTGCATGGGAAGTATACTTTGATGCATTTGGCATGAAATTCAGATTTTCCATGTCACGACAACGCTTAGATTCGGCAGATTTAAAGGAAAACGTGCCCGTTAAGCCCGTATAGGGGGAAACGTCATGTATCGGAATGGATGAGAGGCATGAAATGATAATCGATTTGCGGTTATAATCAATTTGTAATTACATGAAAAAGCCACAACGTATTTATAAAATATTAGTGCTCGCCTTCGATAAGGTATGTTTGCCATTTTATATAATGTGGGGGTGGCTAGTCCCTCCTATTTGTTTTAGCAAAAGTTCTTTTCCGTTGGTTTAGTCCTGACGATTGCCATGTGGTCATGTGGAGTTCGAGAACAGAGCCTATGACGTTGAGCTCAATTTTAGAAAAATTTAGACACTGGTTTCATATTTTTCTAAAGTCATATGAACTTCCTATGAATTTCCTAATATTAGTTCATCTTCTGAAAAAAAGGGAAGAAAATACTTAGAGCTGCCACATGGCACTCTCTGATTGGCTGACGGTTCAACAGTCACTGACAGGTAGGGTCTAGAATCTACGGTCACTGACAGGTGAGGATCAACGGTCAACGCAGACCGGGCTGACTGGGCTTGGCGGGCCAGGTCACAAGCCGGTCTAGGCCGGGCCAGGCCTGACAAGCGTTGTAGTGGGCTTGGGCTTCCAGCAGGCTCAGCTCATGGAGCTAGCCTACGGTGGACCAAGGCATGGTGCACCGTGGACCACTAATGGTCCACAAAAACTAGGTTCACGCAGTGCCTATGGGCACGGTGCGCCGGGTGCACCAATAGGAGAAAAAGGGGGAGAGGGCTCCTATTCCTCTGTTGCCAGGTGCTCGATTTGCTTGGCTCTAGATGGCTCACCAACGATGATCTCGCGCGATGGGGCTCTTCAAAGTCCTGAGGGGCTGATCCTATGGCCCCTACTGGCTCGCACGCTCTACGATGGAGGCGGCAAGGGGTGAAAGATGGTGGCTTGGGGCTCAGTGGTGGCGCTCATGGCTACAGTGGCGCAGAGTCTCGTGCGGGCAAAAGGTCACTGCGCAGCCTTGGCCTTTGATTTGGCATTAGATGGGTTCAGGGGTAGGCTAAACGAGCGGCGTCGGCGACCATTTCACAAGGCGGAGTCTGCCCGGCGGTATGGCTTGCGGTGGAGGCACAACGGAGGCATGGCTATGGCGACCAGTGGTTTGGGAGGGTGCTAGGGGCTAACAAGCACACACTAAGTGCGCTAGGAGACAACGACCATCATCGACCCCTCCTCAACTCACGAGGGGGTCGATATCGGTGGGAACGACAGCGACATGGCGGTGCCATGGGTGCGCGGCAACGCCAGCATTGTGAAGACGATTGGGTGACCTAGGGCCTCTCTACGGCTGCGGGGCAGGTGCTAGAGCTATTCATCGGTGAGGCAGAGCTCACCGTGAGGCTTCTGAGGTCTCTACCGACATGGATTGGTCGAAACGAGGGCTCACCATGGCGACATCCGGCCATGGCACACGCGTTCTTGTGGCAATAGCATTCTAGTGCCCTATTGGTCCTACGCGGTGGTGGTAGTGTTGGCATCACGTGCAGGCATTTGTGTTGTGCTTGGTGCATGCCAAGATCTAGCCGTAGGGCCTCTCAGGTGGAGAGACCACAGCAACGGCCATGGCAGTGTCCATGCTGGCGAACAGAGGGAGGTGGAGCAGCTCACCAGGGGCTTGAGGGGGAAATGCTAGTGGTACAGTGATGAGGCGAGGCAGTGGCGAGGCAAGGCCGTGTAGTGCCGAGCCTCTATGTTGCTATAGATGATCGAGGCGGCGTCCTCGCTCCACCGGCTCTTGGCGGACTCCGGTGAGCTCGATCGCCTTCTCCTCTCCTCCGGGCTTCCTCCGAGTGCATCAGTGTGTGAATGGAGTGTGCCACCAAGGGTAGCAGATGGTCTAGGGTTCGGACAGGCCTGAGTTGGGGGCTTAATTTTATAGGCGACGACAGCTGTGGCGCGGTGGTGGACGACACTAGGGGCTCAAGGGACACGTGTAAGGGGATCTAGTGGCTACAACTAGGGTTTGGGGTGTGCTAGGCTCGCGCTCATAGGCACACGGGAGAAGGGCGTGATGCGGGCCGGGTGGACTGGGCCGCACGGGAGAGGAACGAGGCCAGCTGGGCTAGCTCAGTCATATTCCTTTCCTATTTATATTTTCTCCCTCTTAACCTATACTTGTATACATGTATGCATGTATACTCTACTAGAGATGGGTCCACTAGGTCAACCTTATAGTAGGGATTCTCCATGCTAGGGTCCTAGCACACTGACACAAGACAACTTGTTTATAGAAGTTGGTTACTTATTTTATTAACAAGCATAAGACCCAATAGGAAACAACTCACAATTTGAGGTCAATGCACATGCTCAACCATCTAATTGGGTTTACCTAGTGCATCTAGGGTTGGTTTCCTAGTATGTCCACTCACCACGCAAGGTTTTAAAAAAGTTTATGAAAGTTGGGATTTTTGGCTCTAGGATTTTCAGGGTTGTTACAACTATCATCTATCCTAAACCTAACCGTGTACTCTATTGCAATTTGGTCGGAGAAAACAAAATCCCTATACATATTGCTTTGCCTTTAGGCTTGTTTCCATCTCCTTTACATTTCCATGTTGGGCACTTGCATCTTGTGGTCATAATCATATCCACCATGCTCCTAGGCTTGCTCAACACCATCATGTGGACCCTAGCTCAATCATCTCCAAATGAAAAGCATTAGCCCACTAGTTGTCACTCAATTACCAAAACTAGAATAGGGATTTTAGACATGGATAATATCGTGGCCAGAAAAAACAAAACCAACTCACAAGTCATGAGCAGCATGGTCATTTGGCCAAACCCAAGTCCTTAACTGATGAAGTAAATCGAGGAATGTGAACTCTAAGACACATCCTGTCGGATATACGACCTGAGGCACCTTCACCGCCTGTATACCCGATCTGTGCCTAAACCAGTATAATCTATGTGTCTTGTGTGCTACCCATCTGATTCATCTAATGCGAATAGCTCCAAGGTATTGCCAATGCTAATTCTTTCGACACATCCTCTCGGTCACTATCACTACACACATCCTCGATGAGGATGTTGTTTGTGTATCGGGGAGGAAGAGGTTCTGGATCCAAGTCCCGATGAAATTGCATATTTTTTGTGATTTCTTTAAGGCAGGACTTTGCATTCCATGTGATAAGTTTGTTCGCTAAGTTCTTGTCAAGTCTAGGGTGCAACTTCATGAGCTCACACCGAATGCTTTTGAGAGGATGTGTCCCTTCGCAATGTTGGTGAAAATGCATGGTTGTGAAGCTAGTGCCGACTGCTTCGCTCTATTTTATGAGATGCAACAACATAAAAAGTTTGTGGTGGATCTAGAAAATAGCTCCTAGGTCATGGCCTGGTATGGTTTGTGAAATTTTTGTTCCTAGGAAGATGAGGGGCACACTATCTATAGTCTTGGTGTACTGTAACAAGTCGGAGAAGCAGTCCGAGTATTGGCTCTACCACATAGGGTCCCATTTGCTACATCTAGAGGGACAAAGGACTATCCCTAGTTTCACAGATGGTTCCTTCTAAAGGTGTTGCGAAGCCATTGTTTGCACAGAATGGTGAACCCTTGCTGTGGGGGTGAATCATTTATTAACATTATGCATAATCAAATGTGTAATGGCCCAAAAATCCACCTTTTTATAAACTTTTGTTAAATCCTTATTAAGCCCAAATATTCCTTCTTTTCTAAGATAATTTGAGAAACCGAGGCCTTTGGCATGAACTTGACCAACATATCACCATCCTTGGATGTCTTGGAAGCAGCCTTTCGGAACCCTCTTTTATCATCCCTCTCAATAAAGACGTTCGGTGATGTTTGGGCTTTAAGTTTGATTTTGG